CCGGGTCTGCAGACTGCAGGACCCTAGCTCAGGAGGCCTCGGAGTTGGGCCAGCAGGGAAGAAGTGGAGAGACAGGCAGGGGATGGGTGGAGATGTGTGGCTGGCATGCCCCATATGTGGCTAATTCTGTAAGCCTAGAGATTCAAGGAGAGGAGCAGACCTCGAAGGCCAGGGTGGGCCCGCACGCCCCTCGCCTGATCTTGGGTCCCCACGCACATCTGCACGAGGCCCTTGGGAAGCTTTACACAAGCAGCCTGGGTGTCCCGCATCAGTGTAGTGGTACAGCTGCCGGGCCATTCTGTTTGCAGTCTGGGAAACCCTCGTTTAAATACTCTTGCTTTGTCTTGGTCTTAACCATCCAGCAGAAAAGTGTAAAAACGAGGTATATGAAGTAAAGCCATATTAATATGCTGAGCTGCGAAAGGCTCAAGTCAACACCTTCTGCAGATAACCCACTACTATTGTGGACTGCTGGACTGTGTTGGAGTGTTTTGCTGAATTCACGCACCTGTAGTATTTAGATGCCGATAGAATACCCATCTCTGGCAGGACTAAACAAAAAAGGGGATACAGAGGAAGGACTATTTTGTATTTGTAGATGCAGACTAGTTAGGATAGATATACAGCTACTTTTGCTTAATTCAATGAGAAGGATTTGTACTGATAGTGTTTGGACAGGATATCCTGTCTGCTTCTTTACTATAGATAACCACTAAGAAGATAACAATGTACAAGGTATTAATTATTGAAAATGTCCTATTAATCGGTTTTGAAACTGTCTCACTAATATTTGTTTCTCAATAAAATAAAAATAAATAAAATAATACCTGCCCCATAGGTAATGTGACAATGCACTTTCTGGAGCCATCTCTGTTAGATTATCTCATGCAAAGTCTTCGCTAAACCCCGGGCATTCCTAAAACCAGTGCCAGCACCACTGCCGTGGATTTCCTCCTGAGGCGTCCAGCAGGCCCCCTGTTTTGTGTGGTGGCTCTGCAGCACCCATGGATTTTGGAAAATTACGAACTATGAACAAAATTACAAGTTACAAACTCATTATCTCCTTCCTTGGTACCCAACAGAACACTGCTTCTCTGCTGTCAGGCAATCTCCTTTTGGTGCCGATTGCTCTCAGGCGGAATTAGCTGAAAAACAAAGGTGCAGAGGCAACAAAACCAAAGCTGCAGGCGGAGCCGCGCCGCCTGAGACGGCCCAGACCTTTGGCCTCGTGTGAATTCCTCCGGGTCTTAGGACTACAGATGCTTCCCACAGACATGTGCATCCACACACATCTGCATACTCACACACACGCACACACACACTCACTCCCACTCTCACGTATACACACTCACACACACAACCCTTCAGACACAATAGAGGTGACCACTGCTTAGACGGCTGTACGTTGCAGAAACCAAAGCTCCCGGCAGATTCGCACTGAAGCAGCCCACAGCACTGTGCGTCGCCGTGTCTCCCCATTTATGATTTCGAAGCAAAATGTTTACAATACATGATCTTTCTGACTTACCCTTGTGCTCTTTAGTAGGTAGGGTGGGAGTTGGTCCTTGCGACCTGGGCATTTGCAAGGGACAGGAATAGGAGACGAATGTGTGAGCGTACCAGTGTACACATAGGTGGGTACATGGACGCAGACACGACAATGTGGCACCGATCCAGGGCCCACCCTGTGTCCGTAGACCGCTGATCTAACACACGCTGAGTGAGTGGGCGCCTGGAGGAGTGAAGCTAGGCTATATACATGCCCAAACGTCACCATCTGTTCTTCCCTTTAGTGGTGCTGCTTCCGATGGGCTGCCTCACGTGGTCAGCCTGCCAAGCAGCTCTTGGGAAGACCCTGGGAGCACAAAGGCAGAGCTCGGCCCTGAACGCGGGCTGCCGGCTGGCACACGTGGGTCTTCTGGAGTCCTCAGAACCAGGCTTCACCTTCATGTGAAAGCTTCTAGATTTAGCAGAGGAGGCATGTCTGTTGGCCTCCTGGGCAGGAGTGTTTTCAGGGCAGGGCTTTGTGCCTGTCTGCAGCACAGTGTCATTCCCATTTAACCGGCAGGAGAAGTGGCATTTCATTCTCCTTCACCTCAAACAAGAGTCACTAAGTTGATCCTGATGCTGAGTTCTTCAGTGTGCTTGTCCTAACATGCTGGTTGCTGCCGTGCTGTCTCTCGGGTAGATGATTGTTTAAAAAGGAAGGGGGTGGTGAACGAAGGCAGGAGACAGGAAAAGGAGTGTTGTGGGACTGTCCTCATACAATGTTGTATATGCTTAGATTTCTGGACTTACGTGTAAACATATATAATTCCTTACTCCTATTTTTAAATATATTTTAATTTAATTTTTTGTCATATTCTATAAGGAGTTAAAGTTTAACATATCAATACTTGATGAAAAATACCTGTTCCACATTATGCCTAAGATGTTTCATATTCAAACAGATAGTGAGGTTAAGCTCAACAGCCTAGGTTGTATTGTAATAAAAATAAGCTTCTCTTCTGGAGGGTTAACAACCTAAGTTTGTACACCAAAAATTAGAGAGAAAGGAGGGCCACAAGGAAAGCCAACATTTTGGCCCTAGCCTTCCAAGGTCAATTAAGACTCAGGACATATGAGAACTTGTACTGTACCATCATGTAACTCAGTTGTGTCCCAAATTTTCTGATCAAGGAGATTATGGGGCCAAAAAGGAAAGTGATTGATGATGTGGAGTGTGCCTAAGGAGAGTCACATGAAAACATTCTCTCAGGCTTTCACAGACAGCAAATTGGCCAAGCAATGACCATGACTCGTCCACATGGCTGACACTGAAAAAAGATCTACAAACCGAGGTACACGGTCTCAGGATAAATCTTGAGGGGATTTGACTGACCTTATCAGATATAAAAGCTACAATTCTTTTTACATAGGTCTTGCTTTATCTTGGTCTTAACCATCCAGCAGAAAAGTATAAAAACGAAGTACAAGAAGTAAAGCCATGGTGTTATGTTGAGCTGTAGGGGACTCAGGTCAACAATTTCTGACATCGCCGGTCAAGCGCAAGACCCAATACTATTATGGACTACTGGACTACTTGGGAATATTTTGCTGAGTTAACACACCTATATTTCAATGACAGAACTGAACAAAAAAGGGGATACAGATGAATGACCATTTTGTATCTGTGTATTCAAAATGGTTACAATAGATACACAGCTATATTCTCTTAATTCAATGAATAGACGGGTTTGTTCTAATAGTGTTTGTAAATAGGATATCATGTCTGCATCTTGTACAACAAATAACCACTAGGAAGGCAGTATGCAATGTGTTAATTATTGAAACTGTCCTACTAATTTGATTTGAAATTGTCTCATTGCTATTTGTTTCTCAATAAAATTATGGAAAAAATAAAGTAAAATTGTAGTCTGCAGCAGGCTTGTATGGCTCTGCTGTGGCTCTGACACCCCAGACATAGCTTCTCCGTGGAGTCCGCCCTTGGGTGGGGTATGCAGATTACCCAGTCCACAGTTTGTGGTCTGAACACTAGTACTGAATATGAAGGACAAGGACTTAAAATTGTTAATTTCAAAACCTTTTCTGGGGGCTGGTGAGATGGCTCAGTGGTCTAAAGCACCTATTTAAAACAAGCTTAGCTAAAGCACAGGTGACCACGGTTCAATCCCCCAGCACCACATGCCAGCCAGCCCCCGCCCCCTGGTGGGCTGAGCTGAGCTGGCCACACACACACACACACACACACACACACACACACGCATAAATAAAAAATTAAAAAAAAAAAACCTTTTCTGGATCAAGTGCATTTGTGTTGGGATGAGCCTCTTGAGAGTGGCCCAAGCTACTCTCTCTCTCTCCCTTCCCACCCTCCTCCCTCCTCTTAGTAGACAGGTTTGCATTACAACAGTGTTTTCAGTGACTTTTCCCCCCTGCACCTCACTTTGAGAGAGCCCTTCCTCTCACTCTTCTGTGCTCTTGCATGGTCTTGTAGTAAAAGCGGAAGTGCACGTCTGCTGGGGCTGTGCCTCTGATGAAGGTCTTTTGCTGACTCCTCCCTGCCTATCTCATTTTCTGACAGTTTACTTATAAAATACCAGACTTGATGCTGTAAGGGCACTGCTGGTCTTGGTTTTTTGCCCCTTGCATTACCCATTTTCTGATGCTATAAGGGCATACCGGAGGCAGGCTAACTTTGTTAAGAAAGGAGTTTTATTTAGCTAACAGTTTTGGAGCCAGAGCCCAGCCACACAGTGCTAGACCTGGTGTGGACCTCCTGGCTGTGTTGTTCCTCACAGAAGCCACCATGTTCAGAGTCTGTTAGTGAAGACATGACCACGTAGAGAAAGGAAGCCACGGACCATGAAGGCCTGTTACTTCTTTGGATGCTTTCCCAGGAACTGGCTAGAGTTCCATGAGAACTGCTTCATCCGTTCCCGGGCAGGTTGCTTGGTGACCTCCCACTGGCTCCAGCTCTTCAAGGTCCCTGAATCTCTTGACGCTGCCACCCTGGAGCCTGTGTTCCCAGCACATGAGCCCTAGGGACAAATAGCATCCAGCACATGAGCCCTGGGGACAAACTGCATCCAGCCAGAGCACATTTTAGGGAATTCACTCCTTATGTTCAAGGCCTCCAAGTCAGGAAGTTGCAGAGCAAGGCCAGGAGGACAGACTGAGAGCACAGAGGCTCCGAGCTCCTCTCATGCTGATGGCAGTGGCTCTCCATGCCAGGAGGCCCACGGGGAGATGCATGTAGTGGTGGTGGAGCTGGCGTCCTATCCCTCAGCTTCCCTCCTAGAGTTAAATGTGGCCCGCACAGCGCTGGCTCCCTTGAACACAGCCTCCACAAAGTGGATCCCCTTGGAGCAGAACCTCCATTTTTCATTATTCTAACAAATTTCTGTTGCACCCTCAAAATTTTGAAAATGTGTGTAGTTAATGCCACACAGAAGTCCTACAAGAATAAACCTGCATCCATCCCTCTTGTTCCTTTTCAGCTGTATCCTGCGGCATTCCGGAGTCCCCAGGAAATGGCTCATTCACAGGCAATGAGTTCACGCTGGACAGCAAAGTCACCTATGAGTGTAATGAGGGCTTCAAGCTAGAAGCCAGCCAGCAAGCCAGCGCAGTGTGCCGGGAGGACGGCTCATGGAGTAACAGAGGGCAGCCACCTGCGTGCAGACGTAAGTGTTGGCGATATCCACCCATCCTTGTAGACTGAGCGGGAGCTGAGTGTCTAAGGCAGGCTCCAGCAAAGGCCCCTGCCACACGGTGGGCGTGTGATCTGTCTTGTCACAATAAAAATGAAGCCAAATATTCCATCACAGCCCTGAACGTGAGCTGTGCTCTCTGGAGAGTAGGCTGGGGTCTCTGCAGCCCACAGGCACATCCAGCAGGCCTGGTTTTGGGTGTACATGCTTGGGAGGGGGGCAGGGATGCCATCTGGGGACACTGAGGCACAAGGCCAGCGAAGGCCCTCACATGATATGCCAGTATGCCTTTCGTCCCCGTGTGGGTCTGAGCTTTCTGAATCAAAGGCAATGCTGACTTTTTGGGAATATTACATACTGTGCCCAACTTCGGGGTGCGGAGCACAGCTCGGAGTGCTTGTGAAGTGGGCTGGGGTTTTAGAAGCTGTCAACAGTGTGCAGCAATACGCGAACAAGGGCAGAAAGTCTGGTCCGACATAAAGCTTTCGTCTCAAACTGTCATCAGGTTTATCATAAACCACATAGAGAAAGCACACACGTGCACACACACGCATACACAAGTCATGCACAAGCACAGAACAGCACCAAATAACAAGCTTCGCAAGATGTTTGATGTTTAAAGGAAGACTTAACGTGGAAGTGACCCGTTCTTCCCGAGCACCCAAGCTGACACTACCTGACGTTTCCATCTGTACACTGCTGTTGCTGCCCTAATGTGAGCCACAGACATCCAAGCAATATTGAATTACAAAATTTGTTTCTCTTGCGCTGGTGAGATAGCTCTGTGGACTATGCACCTGCTTAGGTAAGCACAGGGACCAGGGTTCGATCCCCAGCACCACATGTGGCTCAGGCCCTACCGCAGGGAGCGCTCAGTCACCAAGACTGGGCACGGTGGCACATACCTGTAATCCCTTCACAAGAGAGGGGCTGAAACAGAAGGATCACTAGGAGTCCCAGCTGCGTAGTGAGACCCTGTACCAAATACGTAAAATAAATTAAAATAAAATAAAATTTGTTTCTGTTTGCATTTTGGTCATATTAAAAATGTTGAACATTTTGATATGAGGATATAAATATTTATAGAAAAGAGCTTATGTTCCTCATTTTTTTCCTTTTGTAATATTCTAATTGCTTTTTTAAAAAAATGTATTTGGTACAGGGTCTCACGCAGTTCGGATTCATAGTAACCCTCCTGTTTGTAGCCTCGCGAGCCCTGGGATTTCAGGCATCTGCCACCACGCCCTGTCTCGGTGGCTGAGCACACCCTGGCTGGGGCCAGGCTGGAGCGACATGTGGTGCTGGGGCTCAAACCGTGGTCCCTGCACTCGCCTAAGCTGGTGCTTAGTCCGCTGAGCTGTTTCACCAGCCCTTATTACATTTTGGGGAGTCATTGTGCAATGTTTAAAAGGCATTAATATTTTTGGTTATTTTTATGAAGGTGCCACTTTATAACAACTAAATAATCCCATCAGAAGCCACGTCAATGAGATACTAGCTTCGCTGTTTTCTTAATTTTATTTCAATCCTTGAAAATGTCCTCCAGAAGCAAGACCTTGACCCAAGGGCTGTCATGCTGCCCTGCACGTTGCCCTAGGCTGCTGTGCGTGACACTGCATGGGCGCCGGTGTCCTGTGTGGAGTCTGGGGGTCACCAGGGACCTCACCTGCTGGTTAGAAGTGTCCCCCACCCTGGGAGAGCCGATGAGCTCATCTGTAAACCTCATGAACCCTGAAATCATGTGAAGCTGATGACCGCCCAGAGGGGACAGCTGTGCATGCGCAGAGTGGGAGTGGGCTTCTGCGGTCTCTCGTTTTTAGTCCTGTACCCCTTTCATTATGCTACTATCTGTCTTCCTGTTTATGCATGAAAATCCTCCAGGGAGCTTTATTTTTTTCTTTTTTACCATAATATATATTGAGAAATAAATAGCAATGAGACAGTTTCAAACCAAATTGGTAGGACAGTTCCAATAATTAACACATTGCATACTGCCTTCCTAGTGGTTATTTGCTGTACAAGATGCAGACATGATATCCTATTTACAAACACTATGAGAACAAATCCCTCTATTCCTTGAATTAAGAGATGTAGCTGAATATCTATCCTAACCATTTTGAATACACAGATACAAAATGGACATTCATCTATATCCCCTTTTTTTTGTTTAGTTCCATCATTGAAATATTATACATGTATGAACTTAGCAAAATATTCCCAAGTAGTCCAGTAGTCCATAATAGTATTGGGTCTTGCGCTTGACTGGCGATGTCAGAAGCTGTTGACCTGAGTCCCCTACAGCTCAACATAACACCATGGCTTTACTTCTAGTATTTTGTTTTTATACTTTTCTGGGGGATGGTTAAGACCAAGGTAAAGCAGGACCTGTGCCACAAGAGTTGTAGCTTTTGGGTCTGATAAGGTCAGTCAAATCCCCTCAGGATTTATCCTGAGATCCTGTACCTCAGATTGTAGATCTCTTGTCAGTGTCAGCCATGTGGACGAGTCACGGTCATTGCTTGGCCAGTTTGCTGTCTGTGAAAGCCTGGGAGAATGTTTTCTCTCCATGGGACTCTCCTTAGGCACAGTCCACATCATTGATCACTTTCCTCTTTGGCCCCATAATCTCCTTGGTCAGAACATTTGGGACACTACTGCCGAGTTACGTGACGTTACGGTGCAGGTTCTCCTGCATCCTGCAGCTCTAGAAGCAACACTGAAGCCCAGCACCGGTGCTCACGGGCTCCATGCCATTCTGGCCTGGGCAGAGCCCACACTTCTGGGTGACTCAGCATGTTTTGCAGGTTTTGGTCCTGCACCTGGCCTGTCATGTGTCCTGGCTCTCAGCTGAGACCCACTGTAGACTCCTGTACTGCGGGAGAAACTACTTCCTGGCGGTGTACACTCTGTGCTTTGGTTTTTGTTTTTCTTTTGGTGGAGCCAGGGATTGAACTCAGGCCCTTGTGCTTGCCAGGGAAGTGCTTATTCTATTGAGCCATCTCCCCAGCCTTGCTCTGTGCTTTGGCCAAGCACGTAAAGACTTGTGTTTGTCTCCAGCTTCGTGCAGGTCTCTGCCCTGCTGTAAGGGTCTCCTGGGCTCCGCCTGCGGCTCCCTCCTCCACATCAATGCCATGAGCACGTGGCCATGGACCCCAGGCTCTGGCCTGTGCCCAAAGGGTGTAGGTGTAGCACCATCCAGGATGCCCCTTTTCCAGTTGGCTTCTTCGCCTAGCTGTATGCACCTGCAGTCCCTCCGCATATTCACGTGCTGAATGGCCCATCCTTTTGCATTCTGAGGCATATTCCAGGGACTGGAAAGACGGAGATTATTTACCCCGTCACTGACTCAGGGACCTGCCTCTTAGCTGCCTCCAGGTTTGGGCACTTAGGAACAATTCTGCTATAAACTTCAGTGTGTGAGTTTACATGTAGAGTTTTGCTTTTAACTCATTGGCATGAGTACCACAGTGTGACTGCTGGCTCCTCAGTGAGAGTGATTTCAGCCCTGAAAACAGCCCTGATGGCCGCAAAGCAGCACCAAGCTCTCTGCACCCTCCTGCTGCATGTTCGGACAGTGTCAGGGCTGGCAGGGCTGCCTGTCGTTGGCCATTTTTTCTGGGTGAGACAGAATCTCAGTGTTGTTTTAATTTGCATTTCTCAAATGACCAGTGATGTTTGTAGAAGCAGTGCTGGCTCGCTGTTTCCTCTGGCGTTTCCCCGACCACCTCAGGTGGGGTGTCTCTCCACACCTTGGTCTGCACCTGCGTCCTCCTTGGCCAGATGAGCGAGCTGCCTGGTGGGGTCTGTCCACGGTCTTAGCCAGGTGCTTCTTTTCTTAGGGGTGAGTTTGAAGAGCGGTTGGTGCCCTTGAGGTTGCAGTCCTGAACCAGCTGCAAGGTTTGCAAATATTTTCTCTCAGTGAGAAGCTCGTTGTTGTAATCTTTAGCAGTGCCCTCATGGGGCAGGAGTTATTCATTTTAATGTAGTAGAGACAATCAACATTTTCTTAGGGTTGGTGCAAGACCCCAGACCATCTAGCGTTTCTGTAGTGCCCTCTAAGGTATTCACTCATGCACCCCTGCACTGTGGCTCATGCGTGGCTGTCCCTCACTCTGAGTTCATCTTCACGGAGGCTGTAAGATCGGGGCCCAGCTCTGTCTTTGCTGTACACCCGATTGCAGCAGGGCAGCCTGTCTCTTCCCGGCCATTGCCCTGGTCCTTGGTCAAAGAGCAGGCAGTCGGGTTTGGGGTCTGCTCTGGGCTCGGGCTCTCGGCTCTGCGGCACCGACCTGGGTGTCCGTTCTTTTGCCAGCATCACAGTCTTCAGATGTCCATTTTTATGTGACTAGAATAGAAAGTATAAATGACACTTCGCAAAGTAGTTAATATGAGTTCAATAATTCAGAAACTGAAAGGAAGAATTTTTTCAGTGTTCTACAAAACGAGTTTTGAGGTATTTGTAAACATTTATAGGGACCGATTTTATTTACTAAAAATGCCCTTACTGACATAGAGATAGTAGAATGGTTATTTTTGTATCTTTAAATTTTATTTTATTCTATTTTGAAGAGTGAAAACAGGAGCAAAAACAAATAGAAAAAAAAAGCCACGTCTTCCTTACCTGTTCTCCAGTTGACGGGCGTCTGTGTTGCGTCCAGGACGGAGCTGTAACAGGGTGCACTGCTGTAAGCACCGATGTACACCTCACTGTGGGTATGAGTTTTTCAGTCCTTCTGGGAAAATGCTCATAAGGGAGCAGCTGGCTTGGATGGAGCTCCAGCCCTGGCTTTGCAAGGGATCTCCACACTGATTTCCGCAGCGGTTGCACCAGCCTGCGCCCCCACCAGCAGTGGAGAAGCGCTCCTTTTCCCCACAGCCTCTCCAGCACTTGCTGTTGGCTGACTTCTTGACATTAGCCATTTTTTCTGAGGTGAGATGGAATCTCAGTGTTGTTTGAATGTGCGTTTCTCAGA